GGGAACAGCCTAGAACTCATTGGCACAGGAGACAACTTCCTGAACAGAACACCAACAGCACAGGCTCTAAGAGCAACAATCAATAAATGGGACCTCATGAAACTGAAAGGCTTCTGTAAAGCAAAGGACACTGTCATCAAAACAAAACGACTGCCTACAGACTGGGAAAGAATCTTCACTAATCGTTTATCTGACAGAGGACTAATATCGAGTATATACAAAGAACTAAAGAAGCTGAAAAGCAGCAAACCAAGTAATCCAATTAAAAAATGGGGAACAGAGCTAAACAGAGAATTCTCGACAGAGGAATATCGAATGGCAGAAAAACACTTAAAGAAATGCTCATCCTCATTAGCCATCAGGGAAATGCAAATCAAAACGACCCTGAGATTTCACCTTACACCCATCAGAATGGCCAAGATGAAAAACTCAAGTGACAACACATGCTGGAGAGGTTGTGGAGAAAGGGGAACCCTCCTCCACTGCTGGTGGGAATGTAAACTGATACAACCACTCTGGAAATCTATCTGGTGCTTTCTAAGACAATTAGGAATAGCGCTTCCTCAAGACCCAGCTATACCACTGCTAGGTATATACCCAAAGTTTGCTCAAGTACACAAAAGGGATATTTGCTCAACCATGTTTATAGCAGCTTTATTTGTAATAGCCAGAACCTGGAAACAACCCAGATGTCCATCAACGGAGGAATGGGTACAGAAATTGTGGTATTTTTACACAATGGAATACTACTCAGCAATCAAAAAGGAGGAAATCATGAAATTTGCAGGCAAATGGTGGGATCTAGAAAAGATTATCCTGAGTGAAATATCCCAGAAGGAGAAAGACAAACACGGTATATACTCACTTATATAGACCTATAAGATGTGATAAACATAATGAAATCTGTACACCTAAAAAAGATATTCAAGAGAGCGGACATGGAGTAAGATGATCAATCCTCATTTAGAAAGACAGATGGGATGTGCATTGAACGTGTGACAGGAGTCTACTGAGCGCATTTGAAAGACTCTAACTAGCAGTATTTTCAAAGCAAAGTCTCATGACCAAACCTTTGGCAGAGTACAGTGAATCATAAGAAAGAAGGGGAGTTAGTCTGATGGGGAAAGGATAGGAGCTCCACAAGGACCAAATATATCTGGGCACAGGGTCTTTTCTGAGACTGACATTCAACCAAGGACCATGTATGGATATAACCTAGAACCTCTGCTCAGATGTAGCCTGTGGTAGCTCAGTAACCAATTGGTTTCCCATATTGAGGGGAACAAGGACTATTTCTAACAGGAACTCAATGACTGGCTCTTTGGCCTCCCCAGCCCCCAAGGGAGGAGCAGTCCTGTTAGGCCTCAGAGGAGAGCTTTGCAGCCAGTCCTGAAGATACCTGATAAAACAGGATCAGATCAATGGGGAGGAGGTCCCCCCTATCAGTGGACTTGGCAAGGGGCACAGTGGAGATGAGGGAGGGAGGGAGGGACTGGGAGGGAATGAGGGAGCGGGACACGACTGGGATACAGAGTTAATAAAATGTAACTGATAAGAAAAAAAAATAATATTTAAAAAAAAGAACACAACACAAGGGGCTGGAGAGATGGCTCAGAGGTTAAGAGCACTGTCTGTTCTTCCAAAAGTCCTGAGTTCAATTCCCATCAACCACATAGTAGCGCACAGCCACCTATAAGGAGATCTGGTGCATAATGAGATCTTGTATATACATAATAAATAAATAAATCTTTAAAAAAAAAAAGAACACAACACAATTAAAAACAGGACATGGAATGAAACAGAGTTCTCAAAAGATAAAATGCAGTAGGCTGGAAAAAATAGTTTTTTCTCAATGTTCAGCATTGTTAGCCATCAGGAACATACAAATTAAAAGTATTTTAAGATTTAATATTGCCATAAGCAGAATAGCCAAGTTCAAAAGAGTGACAGTAGATGCTGACATGTATGTAGAAAAGGAAAATGCTTAGTCATTATTGGTGTGAGTACAAAATGCTGCAGTCACAATGAAAAGTAGCGTGGTGGTTCCTCAAAAATAAATAAATAAAAGAGAACCACCACATAATCCAGTTATACCACTTATTAATATATATCCAAGGGACTGTATATCTTATAATCCATGTTATACTTATAATCCATGTTCATTGTTTCTTTATTCACAATAGCCAGGAAACAGTAACGGCCATTAAATAGTGAACGGATAAGAAAAAGGTGGGACAGTCACACAATGGATGAAATGTTATTCACATGTTAAAAGAAATGAAACTATAAAATTTTCAGATAAATGGCTGGTTGCAGTGGTACATACCCATAGTATTCACTGAAGGATGCTGAGGCAGGAGGATCATGAGTTCCAGGCCAGCCAGAGCTATACATTTTTAAAGCTGGGTTGTGGTGGCACATGTCTTTAATCCCAGAACTCATGATTTCTGATTTAGAGGCCAGAATGATCTACAAAGCGAGTTCAAAGACAGCCAGAGCTACACACAGAGAAACCCTGTAAATGGATGGGGTATCATCCTGGATGAGGTAACCCAGACCCAGAAAGACAAACATAACATGTATTCTCTTGTATGTGGATATTAACTTTGAATCTTTATATTTGTGTGTTGTGTTTTGTTTATCCCTAGAAGTTGTGAAACCAGTAGTGGCCTAGGGGGAGAAGAGGATCTTTCAAGGGAAGGAATATAAAATATAGTGTTATAGAGGGGAAAAAAAATAATGGGACAGGAAGGATTAAATGGAGCAGGTAATGGAAAAACAGGAGAGGTGACAGAACATAGGGATGGGAACACTACAGGCATTTTGGAAAAGCCGTAGGAAACCTGCTACTGTAGATGCTTCCTAAGATAAATACATATGTATATACAAAAAGCTTAAGTCGAGTTACCTTGTAACAGGGGAGATAATATTCCAACTAAGCACCACATGCTATAAATTAAAAAACAAACAACAACAACAACAAAAAAAAAAAAACAGTACCAAGAATGGGTTACCTCTTTTTCAGTTGTTGGTCAATGGTGTTCCATAGTTCCCCAAGTGATTGTTACTGTTATTGATCTTGGTTACCCCCCCAGAAATTGATGGTAAGACTGACTCTATTGCAGAAGACACACATAATTGGGTTATAAAGATGGAATAATCAAGCTGATACTCATGTGGCGGCATCATCCCTATGGGATAGCTTTCCTAGTGCTGGAAGGTGCTGTTATGCACGCTACCAGAGAAGAAAAGTAATCATCAGTGTTAACCAGCTGTGAACCTGTTAATCTATAAAAAGGATTGGTCTGGAAAGATATGCCCACCACCCAATGTTATTAGGGTAATCAACCAGTTTCTGATCATATTTAAGGCCTGGGAACCCATACCTAGCACCATTAACAGGACCAAGAACCTGTGGCTAGATAAGTCATAGATCCAAGGGAGGAACCTTCTACTCTTATTTTGCTAAAATGAACACAGTATTAAAGCCACCCCTAATAACTTATTGCTATACCCATACATCAGTGCATCTCTCAACTCTCATCAGAGAAGCTTCTTGTGGAAGATGGCATTTAACAGAGAACAACAACTGGTCAGCAAGTAGAGAATAGGAGACTGCAGAGTGCTCAGCCCTTAATATAACATTTAATTCGCACCTCTATTCTAAGGGTCAGGGATTGTCACAGAAGAGGAGACAAAAAGTTAAGAGCCAAAGGCCAAGGGAACAGTGTTTTCCAGGTATAACAGCAAAGTTGCATATATAAAGTCAGCAACTGTAACAGTATGCATAAGACCTGTGCAAACTCAAGCTAGAAAAAAAGACTTAATATGGAAGGTAAAAAGGTTGGCATTAAGTCTCACTCCTATTTGCAGAACTGCTGACATTTGGTAGCTACTGGAAGAAGACTCTGTTTGTTTGTTTGTTTGGTTGGTTGGTTGGTTGGTTGGTTTTTAAATGGTAGGATGACCACATCCAAGGGTAGGCACCCCACACAAGAGTAGTTGAAGAATACAGTTTGGACTCCATGAATCTTAAAATAGAAAGAGTAGATAAATTTGGGTGGTTAGGGAGGTGGGGGTGGACCTGGGAGTGGGTGGAATTATATGATCAAAATAAATTGTATGTAAAGCCTTGAAAATTAATTAAAATATTAAATTTTAAAAAGACAAGAAGAATATAAGTGATAGACTAAAGAACAGTTATGCATCATGAATATCTGAATTAAAGCAATGGCCATATGGAATGGGGACAAAGGTGCAAATGACATGACATTAGAGAGAAAAGGATGAACAAGGTTTTGTAACTGAACTGATACAAGATTAAATAAATATGAACAAATTCTGGTTATAACATCAGTTAATATTGCCATATCCCAAACTAAGATTTCTGTTTCTTGTTATATGTGTGATAAAATCCAACCTCTTCAGATGGCACAAAAGACCTTCCTTTATTTTTGATGAAAGACTAATGCCTTCAAGAATAAAGGTTGCATCTTTCCTTTTTTAAAAAAAATCATTTTATGTTATTAATTCATTTATTTTTATGTATGCCTGTGTATATACATGCCACATCAAGTGTATAGCACTCAGAGAACAATTTGCAGGAGTTCACTGTCTTTCCAGGAATCAAACTCAGGTCATCAGGTTTGATTATAGGCACATTTTAACCACTGATACACTTCTCCTACCCTAGATATAATACCTTTCACCTATGACTCCCCAGAACTTAGTTTTGAGCATGACCATGGTGGGTATTCAATTAATTTTCAATAGAATGAATGAGGAAGAAAAATGTGGAAAAATAAAGTGTGAGAAGACAGGTGTTGGCTACATAAAATAACAAGCTCATTACATCATTTCAGTACCAGAAAGTGATTCTTATCGGCATCTTCTTCATTAAGTTTCCCTGAAATAAACCCCCAGCAGGAGTCCCAAAAAGAAAAATTCACTTAATCATATCCAAGACACAAGAACATTCTTTCTCTCCAACCCCTACTTACGATTTCTTCAGACAGTTAGCTGTAGAAAGAATCAGCCATGGAGTCATAACAATACCCTGGCAATTTCCAGGCATAGATGCCAGCCATGGTAAGTTAATATTGTTATCCAATGATGGTAGTTCTTTAATTGTTGCATTTGAATTCACATTCTGTCCCTCAATTTGGAACACTGGAAAAGGGTATGATAGGAATAAGAATGAATGAACATAACATTAAAAACCTTTTCAATGCTGATGATCTTTCTCATATTTTAGTTAATCTACTCAAATTCAGCTAGAAAGTTTCTGTTGCATATTCAATGTGGCTTAACTTCCTTCACATGTGTCATTTTTTTGTATGTGAGTAGATATAAGTGTTATATTTCCACCATGACCACAACCTGATGCTACATCTCTTCTCCCTCTTCTACATTTACACATCCTCTTTCCTTCCTTTCACTTTCTTCTCTCTCCCATGACTTTCTCACCTGCTTTTTTAATTCCTCTGCATCAGACAGGACATCTTTGCCTACTTTTCCTTGCACAAATCTTGTTTTAGTTTGGTGTAAATGTTCAGAGAAGAGAATGAGAGGGGGTGGAGAAGGAGGAGGTTGAACTAATTCAGAAAGGGACAAGGAAAATGGGGAAAAGAAGAACAGGATAATGGTCTTTGGACATAGAAAGGAAAGAATACATAAGGATGCCCAGGTAGCTATGACTTACGAGCACAGCTGTCGCCAACAAAACACAAAATAAAGTAAAGCCAAAGTAGAGCCTTCATTCTGGTTCAACTGGCAAGATCTGTGTTGTGGAAATCCCGAGGCAACAGCAGTTCTAATATACTCTAGAAGCAGAGTTCAAAGGTTATGGAATGTATGACATCATAAAACCTACTATGAGATTCATACCCTTGTAACCTCCTTAAAATGCTTAAGATAGGGAACTAGAGACAGCAGCATAGTTAAAAATTAAGCATTATTTCATGTTTAAATTTTTGGGGCTTTTTTATGATTTATATGGTTAGAGAAGAGCTGATATTTGTCCCAGACTACTGTGAGAAGCTCATTTCTCTAGTGCATAGAATGAGTGATTATGATACTACTAGCATTTTTGGGGTAGTTCCCACAAAGCTTCAGTCTTCATTGAATAAGCTAGTACGTTCTAAACATGGTTTACACTTCTTTCTTGCAGATTTTATGATGATTCACATACTGTTGCCAGTTGTTTAGGTGCATAATCTGCCATCTTGGTTTCACTGTATTTTTAAAAATTATGAAACAGATCAGTAAAGAAAAATTAGTTTATTCCTAACCTAGCCAAATCAGGGTGAGTAAGAAACCTAATTTTCTCCCCGACATGCCTGTGATTGTCATATAATTTCTAGAATGTCATGGAAAAAAAGGGTAGAAAATATGTATACTCAAGTTTGGGGAAGGTTACCCAGTCCTTTCCTAAGTAAAAGAGAATGTAGGCCTGTGTTTTCCAGTTTGCTATTACAGAGACCGTTTTTCATTTGTCCTAGCCAAGGATAATGGGGATCTTTTTAATTTCTATTTTATTTTTATTAATTAAAGTTTATTCGTTTTATGTATCCCAGCTGTAGTTCCCTCCCCCATCTCCTTCCAATCCCATCCTCCCTGCCTCTTCTTCTCCTATGCCCCTCCCCCTGTCCAATGACAGGGGAGGTCCTCCTCCTCTTCCCTCTGACCCTAGTCTATCGGGTCTCATCAGGAATGGCTTCATTGTCTTCCTCTGTCCACTGGCAAGGCTGCTCCCTACTCAGATGGAGGTGATCAAAGAGCCAGCGCCTGAGTTCATGTCAGAGATGGTCCCTGTTCCTATTACTGGGGAATCCTCTTGTACACTGAGCTGAGCTGCCATTGGCTACAGCTGTGCAGGGGTTCTAGGTTATGTCCATGGATGGTCCTTGTTTGGAGTATCAGTCTCACAAAAGAGCCCTATGTCCAGATATTTTGGTTCTGTTGCTCTCCTTGCTGAGCTCCTGTCCCCTCCAGGTCTTTCTGTCTTCCCCTTCTTTCATAATATTCCCTGCACTATGCCCAAAGTTTAGCTATGAGTCTCAGCATCTGCTTTGATACTCTGCAGGTAGAGTCTTTCAGAAGCCCTCTGTGATAGGCTCCTGTCTTGTTCCTTGTTTACATCCTCTTCCCATTGGCCTTTCTGAATGAGGATCACACATCTTACCCAGGGTCCTCTTTCTTGCTTAGCTTCTTTAGGTGCACAGATTTTTAGCATGTTTATCCTATATTATAGGTTTAATACCCACTTATAAGTGAGTATATGCCATGCAGGTCTTTCTGCTTCTGGGATACCTCACTCAAGATGACCTTTTCTAGATATGACCATTTGCCTGCAAATTTCATGATTTCCTTGTTTTTAATTGCTGAGTTGTATTCCATTGTGTAAATGTACCACAATTTCTGTATCCATTCCTTAGTTGAGGGACAGCTAGGTTGTTTCTAGCTTCTGGCTATTACAAATAAAGCTGCTGCAAACATGGTTGGGCAAATGTCCTTGTTGTATACTTGAGCGTGTTTTGGATATATGCCTAGGAGTGGTATAGCTGGATCTTGAGGAAGCATTATTCATAATTGTCTGAGAAAGCACTAGATTGATTTCCAAAGTGGTTGTACAAATTTACATTCCTGCCAGCAATGGAGGAGGGTTCCTATTTCTCCACATCCTCTCCAGCATGTATTGTCACTTGAGTTTTTTATCTTAGCCATTCTGATGGGTGTGAGGTGAAATCTCAGGGTTGTTTTGATTTGCATCTCCCTGATAGCTAAGGACATTGAACATTTCTTTAAGTGTTTCTCTGCCATTCTATATTCCTCTACAGAGAATTCTCTCTTTAGATCCATATCCCATTTTTAATTGGGTTACTTGATTTGTTGCTTTTAAACTTCTTGAGTTCTTTATATATTCTGGATATCAGCCCTCTGTCAAATATAGGGTTGGTGAAAATCCTTTCCCAGTCTGTAGGCTGTCATTTTGTTCTGATGACAGTGTCTTTTGTTTTACAGAAGCTTTTCAGTTTCATGAGATCCCATTTATTGATTGTTGATCTTAGAGCCTGTGCTGTTGGTGTTCTGTTCAGGAAGTCGTTTCCTGTGCCAATGAGTTCTAGGGTTTTCCTCACTTTTTCTTCTAACTGATTTAATGTGTCTGGTTTTATGTTGAGGTCTCTGATCCACTTGGACTTCAGTTTTGTGCAGGGTGATAAATATGGATCTATTTTCATTTTTCTGCATGTAGACATCCAGTTGGACCAGCACCATTTGTTGAAGATGCTATCTTATTTCCATTGAATAGTTTTGGCTTCTTTGTCAAAAATCATGTATCCATAGGTGTGTGGGTTTATTTCTGAGCCTTCTATTTGGTTTCATTGATCCACCATTCTGTTTCTATGCCAATACCATGCAGTTTTTATTACTATTGCTCTGTAGTACAACTTGAGATCGGGGATGGAGATACCTCCAGATGATCTGTTGTTGTACAGGATTGTTTTGGAGATTCTGGGTTTTTTGTTTCTCCATATGAAGCTGAGAATCTTTTTTTTCAAGGTCTGTAAAGAATTGAGTTGGTATTTTGATGGGAATTGCATTGAATCTGTAGATTTCTTTCTGCAGGATGGCCACTTTCACTATGTTAATCCTACCAATCCATGAGCATGGGAGATCTTTCCATCTTCTGAAATCTTCTTCAATTTCCTTCTTCAGAGACTTCAAATTATTTTCAAAGAGGTCTTTCATTTGCTTGGTTAGAGTCTCATCAAGGTACTTTACATTATTAGTGGCTATTGTGAATGGTGTTGTTTCCCAAATTTCTTTCTTGGCCCTTTTGTCTTTAATATACAGGAGGGCTTCTGATTTTTTTGAGTTAATTTTTTTTTATTTTCATGTATTGTTTTTTTATTGATTATATTTAATGAGATGGTATAATTATTATTTCCCCCCCTGGTCTTTACAGTAGTAGTTAAAATTCTCCAGAAAGACAAAAGCCAATAGAAATTTTACACACACACACACACACACACACACACACGCACACACACACACACATTGATTTTCATGTGTAGCTTACAAAGTCTTAGCAGTTCCTGAAATCTGTATTCTGTATTCTGAGAAACACCCTCACAAACATGCCTGGAGTACTGTCTAGCCATGGAGCTAGGCAGCCTGCAGCCCAGACATGTTGACACATGATATTGGTACCCTATTTTTTTTTTCAGAAATAAGTTGTATTTAGTCCATTTTAGAGCAAAGAAAATTCCCCGTTAGAGGATTGAGGGAGGGTTTTGTCCAAGTTTGTGCAAGTTCACTCGCGAGGGGTTAATTTGGAACCAGCAGAGAAGGCTTCTGAGTTCTAGTATAAAATCATCTTCAGACTGTTGCCAGCAGAGACTCTACAGCATCTCTAATTATGATGAGCCAGAGTTCTTTTTAAGAAATTGATATTCTGGGCTGTAGAGATGGCTTAATGTTGAATAGAGCTTACTGCTCTCTTGGAAGAACAGAGTTCGAATCCCAGCACCCACATGTTTGCTAGCAACTATCTGTCATTCCAGTTCTAGGAAAGCCAATATCTCTTTTGGCTTGAGTTAATTTTTTATCCAGCCACTTTGCTGAAGGTGTTTATCAGCTGAAGGAGTTCTCTGGTTGAATTTTGGGGGTTGAACATGTATGCTATCATATCATCTGTGAATAGTGATACTTTGACCTCTTCCTTTCAGATTTGTATCCAGTTGGTCTCCGTTAGTTGTCTGATTGCTCTAACAAGGACTTCAAGTACTATGTTAAAGAGATATGGAGAGAGTGGGCAGCCTTGCCTTGTCCTGATTTCAGTGGGATTGATTTAAGTTTCTCTCCATTGAGTTTGATGTTGGCTATAGGCTTGCTGTATATCGCCTTTACTATGTTTAGATATGTGCCTTGTGTCCCCGATCTCTACAAGACTTTAAAGATGAATGGGTGTTGGATTTTGTCAAATGCTTTTTCAGCATCTAAGGAGATTATCATGTGGTTTTTCCCCTTCAGTTTGTTTATATGGTGGATTACATTGATGGATTTCCATATATTGAACTATCCCTGCAAGCTGATATGAAGCCTACTTGGTCATTGTGGATGATATCTTTGATGTGTTCTTGTATTCCGTTTGCAAGTATTTTGTTTAGTATTTTTGCATCAATGTTCATAAGAAAGATAGTCTGAAGTTCTCTTTTTTGTTGGGTCTTTGTGTGATTTAGGTATCAAGGTGCCTGTGGCTTCATAGAATGAGTTTGCTAATGTTCCTTCTGTTTCTATTTTGTGGAATAGTTTGAAGAAAATCGGAGTTAGCTCCTCTCTGAAGGTCTGGTAGAATTTTGCACTGAAACCATCTGGCCCTGGGCTTCTTTTGGAAGGGAGACTTTTGATGACTGCTTCTATAGGGGATATATGACTATTCAATCTTTCTACATGATCTTGATTTAATTTTGGTAAATGGAATCTATAAAGAAAATTTTCCATTTTATTTATTTTTTTCAACTTTTGTGGCAGATAGGCTTTTGTAGTAAGACCTAATGATTGTTTGGATTTTCTCAGTGACTGTTGTTATGTCCCCCTTTTCGCTTCTGATTTTGCTGATTTGGACAGTTTCTCTCTGTCTTTTAGTTAGTTTGGCTAAGGGCTTGTCTATCTTGTTGATTTTTTCAAAGAACCAGCTCTTGGTTTCATTGATTCTTTGAATTGTTTTATTTGTTTCTAATTTATTGATTTCTGC